CCTGGGGGACCCCGCTTGTCACTGGCTGCCATCCCGATGATTCCCCACTAATGGTTACCCTCTGCTTTCGGTCAGTCAACCATGCCCTAATCCACCGGACAGTGCTTTGGTGTATCCCAAAACTCCTCAGTTTCTCCACCAGGATATCATGGGGCGCTTTGTCAAAGGCCTTGCTGAAATCCAGGTATACCACATTCACTGCATCTCCTCCATCTAGCCATCTTGAAACCTTGTCATGGAATTCCACAAGGTTTGTCTGGCAGGACCTGTTTTTGTGGAAGCCGTGTTGTGTGACTGTCAGCCTCCCTTCCCTATCTAGCATCACTAGATCTCTCTCTATTCAGAGCCTTTCCATTGTTTTTCCTACAATGGAGGTCAGGCTAAGTGGTCTGTAATTCCCCATGTCCCTTCTACTTCCCTTTTTGAAAATTGGGACCACTGATACCACCCTCCAGTCCTCTGGAACTTCACCCGTTCTCCACGAGGCCTCAAAAATGGAGGCCAGAGAGAACCCCTGCCAACTCTTTAAGTACTCTCGGATGTAACCCGTCAGGGCCTGGCACCTTTGTAATGTCCAATGCCCTGAGGAGCCCCTCGACTTCAATGGGGGGGTGACTCTAATCTGTACCCCTAAGTCCCCAGCTTCATCTAATCTCCTATGTGGATCTCCCCCATCCTGCTTTGGGGAGAACACAGAGACAAAATCGTCATTTAGCATCTGTGCCTGTTCACTCATATCAGTCACTGGATCTCCTTTCTCCTTATTTAGTGGTCCCACCACTTGTCTCCCCTTCCTCTTCTTATTTACATGCTGAAAGAAGCCCTTTTTGTTGCTCTTGATATTCTTGGCAAGTCTCAGCTCGTAATCAGACTTAGCCTTGCGAAGAATCCTTCTGCAACGGGCCTCCTCCTCCTGGTATACCCTTTTGTCTATTTGCCCCAGTACCCATTTCCTACAGAGGTTCCTCTTTCATCTAATCCCTCTATCTACCTCCTTTCACATCCATGGTGGCACTCTCCTCTGCCTCCCCACCTTACTGACTAGAGGTATCGTCAAGGCTTGCACCTCCAAAACCTCCCTTTTGAGTGCCATCCACCCCTCCTCAACTCGCTTACCTTCCAGTAACCTACCAGTAACCTATCCCAGGAGATCAATTTAATGCACAATTAAAACTGGCTCTAAAGCAACCCAACAAACAAAACTGGCATGTCCAAATACCATAATCCTGCTCAAAAGTGCAGATGTGACATGTCTAGCTCCTATCAGGAACATCTTATTCTTGTTCAGCCCTTCAATAGTTATTCATAAGACCGTAATTCATAAATGTAGCTTTCTTTCCAAAGAACTGTCAACTATTTTGAACACAATGTCAGAACATGAGTGGAACTTTTGCATTTGTGATTCCATACCTCCTGACTTCTTGGTTTGCAACAATTCCTCCTTCCTCCTCCTCTTCCTCTGTTGTCACATCATTACTGGGCAAACTGTATTTTGCTTGCTTTTCTTACGTTTTTATATGCATGTGGTAAGGTTTGCCATCCAGAGCATGCCCCCCCCCGAATCTGTGGTACAACACCGCCACCTGCTGGCGACTAAAATCTTGGCCCTTGTCACACACTTTGTAACTGTACAGCGCAGGGAGGCCATCTGGTGCCCTCCACGTATTCTGGACTACATCTCCCATTATTTTTCAGTATGGCTATGCTGGCTATGGCTGATGGAAGTTGCAGGCCAACAACATCTGGAAGACCATGAATTGCCCCTTTTCTGGGAAAGAAGGCAGCCATTATTTTCCTTAGCCGATGTATCTCCTGGTTTGTGGAGCATTTATCACCACATTTTTATCCTGTCTTTTTCTCTCATACAAGGAACCTAAGGAACTCACCCAGCCCTTTCCTTCCTCTCCATTATATCCTCACAACGATGTGAGGTGGGCTAGGTTGAAAGTCAGTGGCCAGCCCAAAGTCATCCAGTGAGTTTCATGCCTGAGCAGGAACCAGATTCCAGCCTCTGAGGCCCACTCCAACACTCCAGCCATGGGCCTCTCACCACACTGCCTCGCACTGCTTATATGCCTCTTTCCTGCCCCTTTCCTCCTGCTGCAAAGATGGGACCAATGCACTCCTAAAGCAGTGGCAATCAGAGATTGTTTCCCACCCAGAAGCAGAACCCAGACTGAAGCAAGCGCTGCTCTCACCCATCCCACACTTTCTTGCTGCACCGGTCAGGCACCACTGGCTCATTTTCCCCAGGAGCCACCCAAAACCACTGGCTTCACCCTACTGCATGGACAAAAATCAGGGAGACAACAGGCAGGCAGAGTTCAGTTGTACAGGTGCTGTTAAGTCTGTCCCATCTGTGTTTTGCAGATTGTGAGCCTGGCTCTGGGTCCGTTGGTTGCTGATAGATGGAATCTTTTCCAGGGATGGACAAGAATTTTCTCCCACTTGTACAAATGCTTATTTATGCTAATGTGCATTAGCACTCATGTGCATTAGCACAAGTGTACATTTGCACAAAACTGGCCCCTAAGAAGAAAAAATGGTCCACAAGTCCACAGAATCCACATGACTTGGGGAAAGATGATCTGCTGCATAGACAGCTGGTCAGATTCGTAGAAATTCAAGCACGTGGGAATCCTTTGCACAGTTCTCAGACACCCCCAGGGAGGGGTCATGCCTGCTTTCTTTCTCCCACTACTTTGAGAGATTTAAAGGCACATTACTGGTGCTCAGAGGGGACAATATCAGCAGGGTTTGGTCCAGTGCTTAGTCTTAAAATTGCTGCCTTTTAATTCATACCTGTATTGTGATAATAACCAGTGTGAAGAGATGTCTTGGCCTTCTACTCCCATCAGTTCTAGCCAGCACAGCCAATGGGGAGGCATGAGGGGAGTTGTAGGCCAAAACACCTGCGGATCTGGCTCATCTCTGGAGTGGCCATCCCGATTGTTAACCTCTTTTCATTCTGTTTCTAGATTTACTCACTCCTAATATAGAAGATGATATTACCTGTGCCAAGAGAATTGTGAAAGATCCCCAAGGAATGGGGAGCTGGTATGCAAAAGCTCTACATTCACCATTTCAGATGAGGGGTTTCTTGGGACCTCTGAAGTGGTGGGGTACCCCATGGAATAAATCTGGACCCCAGATTGTTGCAGGGGGGCATGAGCAGGTGTGGAAATCCTGTTGTCCCAGCAGAAGTATGTTTGGTTGAATATTTCAACCCAATGGGGGGGTAGTATTTTTATTTTATGTATTTGTTATATTTATATCCCACCTTTTTTCCTTGCAAGGAACTCAGTGTGGCTTACATAATTCTCCTCCTACTCCTCTCAATCTTATCCTCACAACAACAGCCCTGTGAGGTAGGATGGGCTGAGAGTCTGTGACTGGCCCAAAGTCACCCAGTTGGCTCCATGGCTGAGTGGGGACTAGAATCCAAATTGCCTGACTTCCAGACCCACAAGTCTTACTATACTACACTGACTCTCAGAACAAATCATAAGACAGAAGAAACAACTCTCTTCTTAGGAGCTAGACGCTAACATTTATACATAACTATGTCTATGTACTTAAGTAATCCTGACCGTTTTGTTGGGTGCCCCTCATGTATTAAATCAGGGGAAGAAAACCTGGTACCTTCCAGATCTATTGTATTATGAATCCCCAAATCCATAGCCCTTGTTCATATTGGCTGGACCTTATAAAACTTGTAGTCCAAAACATCAAGGGGGTACCAAATTTATTTCCCCTGCATTAACTGATGCATGCATTAAAAAATAGAGCAAGCACATGATGCTACAGGGAAAAGTCTATAGCTTATCAGGAATTAAATAGAAAAAAAGATGAAAACAGTAAATAGCCAGAGCCCATATGAATGCCAAGGGTACATTCAAGACACTTGCTGTCATCTCCGCCCATGTCTGTCTTTGGCCCAAGCTATTTGCCATTGGTCACCATTCTAGGCATATGGAGACAGGATGAAATTCTGCAATTCCCAGCATTCCCCAGCCAGCCTATTGGCCCTGCATACAAAAAGGTCTTCCCACTTTTGATCCAAAGGCTGGGGATAACCATGCATGCAGTGCATTTCCCAAATGGTGGCTAATGGGGAAGCCTGGCGTTTTTGATGCCAAAGGGTCATTTTGAATAACCGTCTCAGAGAAATGTGGGGGAGCTGATTGTTGAGAAGGAATGAGAGTGAAGCTGCACTTGCCCAACCTCTCGCCTCTTAGCAAGTTTTAAGCTCTCAGGACTGTTCCTTAAATTTGTACCTGGCCATCCTATGCCTGCAGGAAATGCTTTTATGCCTGCAGAAAGAGATTGAAGCCAAGGGCTTTGAAGAGCAAGTCTTAGTTGAACCACAGGGTGTGAACTAATTCAGATCCAGATTATAGCAAGCACTTAACAGCTATGCTCCACTAGGTGCTCATGCAAACTGATCCTGTATATGTTTACTCAGAAGTAAGTCTCATTCATTGCAATGATACTTACTCTCTATTAAATGTGCTTGTGTATATTTCTCTTTAACCCCATTGAGTTTATTGGGTTGTTGGATAGTACCTAATCCGATGCTGAGTTATGGCAAATGTCTTCAATGTGGTAGTGACCTGCACAATAAAAAAAATGATATGATCCTGTGTGTGGGTACAGTAGGCTATTAATTCTGGTGACTCATTGATTCTTTTTCTCTTTGTTTTGCAGGGACGAATGGAAAAAGCACTGTGAAAACCAAGACCTGGAGGAATGGGTGAAGGGGTGTAAGATTTGAAAAGCTGACTGGAGATATCTGTGTGTGCTTATAGTAACATTATCAGTGATTTTTGGGGAGGGAGGCTTTTTAAGAAATGCTCTTATATTGGGTCTTTCTGTCAATTCCTTCTGTTCCACAGATTGAAAGAAGATGCTTCAATAATTCTACATACCCTGTGGCCTGCTCTGCTCCTCTGTCTATACTGCAGGTGGGGATGGTGGGAGTTGGCTGTGGTGAGATACTCCGTATATGGACAGGAATCATATGGCTGCAGGATTCTGGACTGAATTTGGTTGCGGGGGGCGGGGGGGAACCCCTTAAATCAGCCTGGCTCACTCCTGTGCCTATAATAGTAGCTCGATATTTATTTATGATTACATCAATATCCCTCCTCTTTTCCTCTGGCAAGGAACTTGGGGCAGCTTACTTAGCTCTTCTCCTTTCTATTTTATCCTCACACCAACTCTCTTAGCTCTCTGAAGTAGCTAAGGTGGAGAGCTGGTGATGAGCCCAAAGTAAAATGGATCCAAAGCCACAATCCTATGGCCTAGAACAGAAATGCAGAAGTCGAGCTGGAAGGCACTCACTCTCTTCTGCGATCTTCCTGCCTGGCATAGAGGAGACTCGGGATTCAGCCATCGGCACCACCAGATTAGCAAGGATCCCTATGTAATGGGCCATCCCACCCCATCTCCAGCTGCTCCTGAAAGGTTACCTCTTATCACCTCCCAGCGGTTGGTTTTTGGAGCTGTACCGCCTCTCAGCTTGGAGGTCTCATTTCCCCATCATAGTTAGGAGCCATTGGTAGCCCAGCGCTCTGTGGTTTTGTCCCATCCCCTTTTACAGTTGTCTAACACTTCCTGTCCCAGCTTGGTGGCTTCCCAATATTTCAGGCAACAACTCCCATCATGTCTGGTCATTGTCCATATTGGCAGGGGCTAATGGGAGTTTTCATCCAAACCTTCTGGTGGGCATGAGGTTGGAGGAGACTGAGGAGACATTCTGTGGGGGCCAATTCCATAAATTAAGTGTAATGAAGTACATAATTTCATCTCTTTTTTGGCCCTAAATCTCCTGCCACTCAGTATCCTCAAGTGACCTCCACTTCTGATGTTCTAGGAGAAGAAGCAGGAGCTCTCTCTCATTCCAATTTCTTTATATGAGGGACTGGGAATGTGTTGTGGGCTTAAAATTCCCATGATGCCTTACATAGGCTATGGGGCCTAGGCCTGAGGGAAGTCCAATGGCATACTGAGGGCTGCATGAATCCTGCCTGATCTGTATCTTGCAGAAATGGTAGCCTTCCTTCATCAAGCCTGAAGTGGCAAGGCAAAGAAACTACCAGGGCTGACTACCAAACAAGTACAAGCCCTGCTTCAGTTCGCAGTGCTGCCATGAACTCATGAGGTTGTCCCCCTTACTTCTGCCTCAGCCAATCAGCTGCCATGCGCTGATAATTATCCTGGCCTATCTTGCAAGGTTGCTGTTCAGTTTACAAGTACAATCCACAAAGCTTTGAACAATCTAAAGCAGGCTTCCTCAACCTGGTGGCCTTCAGAGTCATTTGGACCGCAACTCCCAGAATTCTCATCTGGCACAGCCATTGACTAGGAATTCTGGGTGCTGCAGTCCAAATGTGTCTGAAAGGCACAAGGCAGGGGAAGGTTGACTAAAGTATTATTTATCACCATTGTCATCTCCTGAAGGAACTTTGTTCAAAATATCATTTATCTGCTTCATGTACTAGGCTGGCCCTCTTGCCCAAGCTACCTGAGAAGCTTCTTGTAAGGGCAGTTTTGTTAGGGTGTGCTAATGTGAGGGTTCAGAGGAGGACAACAAAAATGAACCAGGGTTTGGAAACATTTGCCCTATGAGGAAAGACTGAGAACTGGGCATGTTCAGCCTTGAGAAGAGAAGACTGAAGGGGGACATGATATCCCTCTAAAAGTACCTCAAAGGCTATCTTGGAAGGTCAAGATCTCTTCTTGCTGGTGCCAGAGTGTAGGACACAGAATAATCAAGTCAAGCTGCAACAACTCAGATACAGGCTGGACATTCAGGAAAAGCTTCCCCCCTGTCAGAGCAATATGACAGTGGAACCAGCTGCCTAGAGGGGTGGTGGGCTCTCCCAAAGTAGAGACATTCAAAAAGAAACTGGACAGCCATGTGAGTGGGAAGGTGCCCTGCAACAACAGGCGGTTGAACCCGATGGCCTTCATGGCCCCTTTCGACTTGATTCTTCTACGATTCTAAGCAAATTGCAATGGAGAATTGGAAGAGGCCAGGTGCTTCAGCAGAGGCCTGACTACCTACTCTGGTGTTGGCTCTGCCTAAAGGTAGCAGGCCAGCTCAGTTCTTCCAGCTTTAAGCTGCTCCACAGTACTCACTGCCTGGGGCAGCCATGCAATATGCCTAATGGTAGGGCTGGCTGTGTAGAAGCTTTCCATTGCATGGCATCATGTGCCCTTGGACCCTTTTGTGGGTTCAGAATTTGAACTCAAAACAATTTTACTTAAATTTGAATACGCACAGAATTTATTTCCATTTCTAACCTGCTGCTTCATTTAACTCACCCTTGGCTAAACCCTTTCTATGTTATGTGTTGCAAAACACAGAAGAAAAGTTTGCATAGTCCCAACACCAGAAAGGCATGCCTGGTAAATGAAAGGTGGTTCCAGATGAAGCTTTAATGGTTGCAGGACCCAGGCTCATTCACAGATGTTTAAAGGAGTCCTGATGCCCTTGTCTTCAATATGTGACCCACTTGTGTTTTCCCACTGCAACTTTTTCCTTATAGCATGAAAAACCCATTCAGGGAAAAAAAGTGGGGAAGAGCTGCACAATCCCCTTGAGTGGGTAGTGCAAGGAGCCCTCTCTGGAAGCATCCAATGTCACACCTTCCCAGCTCTGCTAATATTTTGACATCAATGCATACAAAAGCCTGTTCCAAGAATGTTGTAAGTCATGTATTACTGGCACGGTCATGCTAACACATGACCAAGACTATTACCCAGCTTGGAGGAAGGGCAGGAGTCCCTCCCAACGAATGTTGGAACCCAAAGAGGGTCACCTCATGAAGCTGATGGATGGAAGATTCAGGCCAGGTAAAAGGAAGAAATTCTTTACACAGCACTTAGTAAAATTGCAAGGTTTAGTGATGGTCACCAGTTTGGATGTCTGGAAAGGGGGACTGGACAAATTCATGGAGGATGAGGCTGCAGTGGCCTCCTGTGGCAGAGGCAGGGTGTCCATGTGCAGCCAGTGCCGGGGAACGTGGCAGGAGGGAGCTGCGGCACTCACGGTCTGCTTATGGGCTGCCTATCAGCAGCTGGTTAGCCACTGTGTGACCCAGTAGGGCTCTTATGTTTTCAGGAACTGGGGATTCCAGTTGGCTGCTGGGGTTAGCAATGCTGGTTTAGAGGGATGGCATTGGTGGTGGTGGTTGTGGTGATGGGCAGGAAACTGTGAAGGTGACCTAGGATAGAAGCAACAATTGGGGTGTGAGGATGGTGAGGGAAAATGCCTTGGATGTGGATGGGCAAAGAAGGTGCAGAAAGGGTTGTATTTCCTGCCTGTACCCTGCCTGCCGGGCAAGACTGATGATTGCTTGCCTGGAGATAACTAAGAAATAGCTGAAATGACTGGAAACGTCTCTTGTGCCAGACAAGAGCTTCATTAGAGCCTTGTGTTTCCATCTGCTGCATCTGGAAAAAGCCCCTGCCAACATGGCTTTGCCCACTGGGGAAAGAATTTAGGGCAGGTGAAGTTACTGCTCTCCCGATCAATCTGTAGAAATAACAAGGGATTCTCCTGTATGCTGCTCAGTCTCTGCTAGTAAGGCAAGCAGCGCCTGAGGGAGTCACCATGTTTCTCTGATGACAGATAATGAAGGGATTCCAAGCAGGAGGGGGAGCTTGTGTGAGAGCGTAGGCAGAATGGTGACCCTGTGGGACAGATGGGCCACCTCTGTGTCCAGATTAGGCCCATGGGCTGGAGGTTGCCCTCCCCAGATTTAAGCCATAACCTGCTCAGTACAGTAGGGTCCACCAAGAGACTGTGAAATAGTCATAAAGAAGCAAGTGTTTCTGAGCAACTGTTCACTTTCCTTCACTGCAGCACCAGCTCAATTGGCCCCTCCGAGACGACGATGCATCATAGAAACATATAAACAGACTGAGTCAGAAGGGGTCTCCCGGGTCATCCAGTCTGACCTCCAGCACCAGCTGGCTCTGCTCACGACATGCCCACCATGTGCACGTCTAGCCTATCCTTGAACACCCGCACCGATGGAGCCTCAACGACCTCCCGTGGAAGCCCATTCCACACCCTCGGGGTCCTGACAGTCAGGAAGTGCTTCCTGGCATCCAAATGGAACCTTGGCTCCCTGAGCTTTGCTCCATTGGAGCGCGTCCTGCCCTCCTCTGCAGGGGAGAACAGGTCTCTACCCATCTCCATGTGACATCCCCTCACATACCTGTATGTCGCCAACATATCCCCTCTGAGTCTCCTCTTCTCCAGGCTGAAGAGACCCAGTTCCCTCAGTCTAGCCTCATACCCCATCCCCTGCAAACCGGCCACCAACCTTGTGGCCCTACGTTGCACTGACTGTAACCTGGCTATATCCTTTCTGTAATGAGGGGCCCAAAACTGAGCACAATACTTCAGTTGCGGGCAAACCAGAGTCATATAGAGTGGTAGTAATACCTCTCTCGATCTAGAAGCCACACTTCTGGCTATGCAACCAAGGATGGCAGTTGCCCTCTTGACCACCGCATCACACTGCTGACTCATGTTTAGCCTGCAGTCAGCCAGCACCCCGAGGTCCCTTTCACAAGTGCTGCTCTCCAGCCACTTGTCACCTAACCTGTACTTATGACAGCTATTCCTATGCCGCAAGTGTCATCTGCGAATTAGATCAGCAGACTGTTCACCCCTCCTTCCATGTCATTAATGAAAAGATTAAACAGGGTCAGCCCCAGGAGAGAGCCCTGGGGGACCCCGCTTGTCACTGGCTGCCATCCCGATGATTCCCCA